CCCTGCTCGCCCCCCGCGTGTCGCAGGGAGCTGGAGGGCGATTGCGCTATAAAGTGTGACTCACCCTGGGAGGGAAGGAGGGAGGGGCGGAGACGACAGCTGGCGGCTTTTGGGTTGCGGCGTGGCCGGCCGGCCGGCGGGCGGGCTGGCTGGCTGCAGATGACGGGCAGGCTGCTTCCATTCACGGGATGGAGGCTCGATCACGATGCATTCCCCCACGTACGAAGAAGGGAGAGGGGAGGAAAAAAGCGCCCAGAGGGGGGGGACACTGGGGGCTAAAAATAGCCGGCACACGCCTAGCGCAGCCACCAGACTTCTTTCAGGTTCAACCTAAGGATTGTGAGGGGGAAGGGCTTGGAGTGGGGGGAGGAGGGCGGCAATCTGGGTGCTGGCCTAAGGGCCGTCCTGCAAATACCTCCTTGGCTTGCCCCCCCCCCCCAAAGGCTTGCTTCTGTACCTTCACGGATCTGCTCTGTGCTGAGGAAGGCTGCGCTTGTGTGACATGTGAGAAGCATACTAAGTGGCAAAAAAGGTGCAACACTTTATGGATGCTGAGCTCACACACCCGTCATCTTTCAGCTGAGTCATAAATAGGACTGTGTGTTCATTTTCTTTTGGGGGGGGTCTGTCAGGTGACATGTTTCGGTTTGTAAAAGACCTCTCTGGTGTGCCATGATACAGACAGAACTCCTCCAATCTATTCGTTTCCTCCAGAGCTGCTCATGAAAGTTTTTTCCCCCGTCTTACTTCCTCCCCCTCTCCCCATGAACTTGCAGGAGTAAAAGAGTTTGGTTTTCATATTTTCAAAACAACTTTTCTTATGTTGCCATTTTTTTAAACATTTGTTCTTGGGTTAGTATATCCCGCACTAACCCTTGAAGCCCTCTTTTTTTTTTAAACAAACAAGTTTGGCTCCTTCAAAATATTGTAAAAAAGTTATGGCTCCCACATACTGTGACAATGGTGATACAGTCTCAGAGTCCTGCCTTGATGGGAGGAATGCAGACTTTGTTTAAAAACAAAAAAAATGTTTCAAGTCGTGAAAACTCTTTAAATGTTCAGTCTATTTTCTCATCTTGCATATTTCTACAGTTAGTATGTTGTCCTTCACTGTAGTCTACATCTAGTTCATGCACCATGAAATGATTGTTGTGCCTGCACACTGTGATTCTGACTGCTGCTCTATTCCATTCCAGACCTTCCACCTCCTCAAAATTGCTTTAGTTTTTACTTCCTCATGTTTTATCTGTTGCTTTCTCTTGTTTCTGGCATCTTTCCCACACACATGCATCCTGCCACTTCTAGGCAACTCCGAGGACTAGCATCCTTTTCTTGATTTCTTTCTGCCACTTGAGGCACCTCATAATAGCAGTGAATTCTCAGCCCTAACTCAAGGCCTCATTGTATCTGTCCTTTCTGTGTTCTTTCTGTGTTCATTGAGACCACAGGAGACTCACGGATAGTTATTAGGAAGCAGTTATGTCATTTACTTTGGCTGTTTTCAGATGGGTGAACAATAAGAGGGGTTTTGGTGAAAGGGCATCTAGCTGTCATGAGGATATGTAGATTATTCCAATGTTGTGATCCTGAGTGGTCATGGCAGAGGCTGTACCTAATTAATGCTCAGGTAATGAAACCTCTACACTGAAGTGGGCATCACATGGGTTGTGTGATGCTCCCCTGTTTTGCACACACCCTGCTTCCACATTTCCTTAAAACAAGGTAGGCAGAGCATGCTTTGTGTTGATACTAAATTGCACTGTTCCCCAGCCTTGGGCCCCCAGTTGTTCTTGGAAATCCTAGCTAGCAGAGGTGGTGGTGAAGGCTTCTGGGAGTTGCAGTCCAAGAACATCTGGAGGCCCAAGGTTGGGGACGACTGCTAAATTGCACTTCCACAAAATGTGTATTTACCTTGAAATCCTGGCAAATTGCATTTGTTTTCCTATCTTGCCATTGAATTTTGTAAGCATGGGAACAAATTTGGAAGTTTAGGATAAGATGTGGCTTTTAGACTGTTGGGATAGATGTTCTCACCCACTCTTGCTAGTATGTATATAAATTTGTGTCCTACTGCAACAATGCTGCAAAACTGAACCTTTGTGAAAGGTATTTATTGAAGTGTTGTTTAGACTGTCATGAGGAGGGGATCTCCCTTGATGGGGTAAAGCTCATGATCTCTGCATAAAACTCACACTATATCAGTCAGTTAAATTTGTGTATGAATAGAAACAATACTTTGGGTTTACAGCAGTAGTTCCATCCAAGAAGATCAGGCTTCTCTGGAAAAGACAATAATGTACTCGAAGCATTTACATTAGCATATAAATGGAAACCTGTTGGTTAATCCAATTAGTAACAGATACTAATTATGAAATAGACCAAGCTTCCTGTTGTAGATGCTTTCAGAAGTTGGGATATTGTTCATTTGCATGTTGAAGATTTATATCTTGACTATCACAGCTTGGCCATGCTGGCTGAGCGATTATGCTAGTTCGAAAAAGTAAATTTTCCAAGCTCTACTATTTGTACCTGTTGTAGTGTTCTGATTTATCACTTTAACTGGGACAGAGATTCAGTAGCGTTGAGGAACAATAGCACAGGGTTCGTATGTCTTCATAATAAACTTGTTGATCAGATTAGGTCACCCAGGGAGCTTTATAGCAAAGTGGGGAATTGAACCATTATGTTCTAGATACCTTACCTGCTACATTACACTGTCTTTGAAGAAATATTTCACTATAGGCAAGGTCTGCCACTTGAGTGCTTCTGCAGTGTTATTTGAAATGTTGTCTGAATATAATTTCTTCAAAAAACAACCAAATATGGTTTTCCTCTTTTCTAGAATGCTTCTAGCCCCAATTATCTGAAATAAGGGCTTTCTGGTTACAGCTCCATGTAGTTCTTGTGCCCATAGTCCTTAACTACTTAAATTGAAATTCCTGTGTCAAATGGCTGTACTATATTCCTCTTTGCATCCAGGGGACTGATTTTATTCATGTTAATTTTTAATTTAACATCTCAACAACAAACTGGGGTTTTGGAGGGGGCATAGTATATGAACATTTGCCTGATCCATTACCCCAAACTGGCCTACACAACTGTTTGAATGCTTAATCTATTACATTTGGTGGGCCTGAACCATGTCTGAATACCTCTTTAAAACAGAGGGAAGTGTGCGGCCTTCCATGAGCTTGTTGGACTCAATGTCCACCTCCATGCTCCAGTACTGACTGTACGTTGTAAATAAATAAAATATTTGGTGGGCCTGAACCATGTCTGATTACCTCTTTAAAACAGAGGGAAATGTGTGGCCTTCCAGGAGCTTGTTGGACTCTATTTCCACCTCCATGCTCCAGTACTGACTGTACTTGCTGGTTTTGACTGGAGCTGTAATCTGTTATGTCTGAAAGGCCACAATGTGACCCTACAGATAAAATTTATAGCTTACAATCCATTCCCCAGGTAAGAGTAAAACCACTGGAAAAAAGCACTAATATAGTCTAGCTTTTGACCCTGCACAGGTCTTCTTCAAGCTGGGTGGCACAAATTTGGGGTGGTGCAAATTTGACTGTGGTGCAAATTTGACTGTGGCACAGTCTGGCACAGTCTGGCTTGCTGTGTGGACCAGACTTCCTTGCTTACATTTTCTCTTCTAGTTGTATGGATTGGAATGTCTCTCTGAAGTTTATTAGACAAAGGTCTGCCAGTCATTTACCCAGCAGTCTTAATAGCTAGTATAATCTAGTGTTGGAGCGGGAACAGTGGGAGAGTCACTGGTTAGCCATAAGGTTCAGTACATGACCATGTATCTTCTTTCACAAGATGCTTGGTATTCTGGGAAGCCATGTGTCTACTGGCTTCTTTTTTAGAAGTATACTACTAATGACTGCTTTCTAGGAGTTTAACCCAAAAGATAATGCTAATCAGTTTAGACCCATTTCTAATATTCGTTTCTCAGGCAAATTGATTTGAGGTTGATGGCTGATCAGCTGCATGTGTTCTTGGAAGAAACAGATAACCTGATAAGCCTGTGTCAGGATTTAGGCCATGCCATGGAACTGAAAGTGCATTTGTTGCCCTACAAAACAATTTCCTGAGGGGGAGTATACCACTGAAGCATAGAATAATTGAGTCAAAAGGGACCTAAGTTCAGTAAAGGAATCCAGCACACACCTAGTTAGTTTTCTAATCAGAATATTATGGGGCGCTGTGTTAAATGCTTTGCTGAAGCCAATATATATTACATGTACAGCATTCCCACTGTCTACCAGGAAAATTACCCAATCAAAAATTGAAATAAGATTTATCTGTCAAATTTTGTTTTTGACAAATCCATATTGGCTTCTAGTTATTACTGCATTGTTTTCAAGCTTCTTAGAGTGACTGCTTTATAATGGATGCAGTTCATTCAGCCTTGGGGATTTGAACTGAGCCTTATGGCAACCCTGCTGGGTCTTTTTGCAGCCTTTGATCCTGTCAAACATGGCATCCTTCCGAGATGACTCTTGAATTTTAGATTTGAGGATTCCTTTCTTTAGTGGTTCTCATTCTTTGAGGGCCAGTCTCAGGGGGTACAGCTTTAGGAGGTGAAGTCCACCACTTGAGATATTCTGTTATGGGTCTGTCAAGGTTCAGCCATTTCCCCAGTGCTTTTTAATATCTATATGGATTCGCTGGGACAAGTCATACAGAGATTCGGAGTTTGTTCTCATCTATATGTCAATGACACACAACTCTATCCTTTTCCTCATCTGCAAGTGATGCAGTAAAGGACTTTGTGCATAGTCTAGCATCAATAATGGACTAGACGAGGGGCAATAAACTGATACGGAATCCAGACAAGACAGAGTTACTATTGGGTGGATTGTTGGACTGGTCTGAAAGGCCACATTGTGACCCTACAGATAAAACCTATAGTTTATAATCCACCCTCAAGGCAAGAGTAAAACCACTTAAAAAAGCACAAGTATAGTCCAGCTGACCTCAATGGGGTTATACCCCCCCAAGGATCATATTCGCAGCATAGGTGTACTCTGGACTAAGCTCTATGGATACATAAATATCTGCTATGACCAAGAATGCTTTCATCAATTTTGGTTGATTGCCAAACTGTACCCCTACTTGGAGAAGAAATGTCTAACAACTGTGACCCATGCATTGCCAGAATAGACTACTGTATTGTTTTTTATGCTCTTGCAGGTCCAAAATGTGTCAGCCAAACTGATAATAGGTGCCAGCAGATAAGAGCACATGTCCTTAATCCTGGCATGCCTTTATTGTATCTGTTAGTTTCTGTGCCCTGTTCAAGTTGCTGGTCATGACCTATAGAGCCCTTAGCAAGTTAGGACCTTGATAATTGCCAGCACATTTCTCTCAGAAAATAGCTACCCAGCCTACCTGCTCCTCATAGTCCATGAGATCAAAAATTGTGACAAAAGGAGACCAAAAGTATCAACACAAGGAACTGTGCTTTTTTTGGATGTAGCTCCTTGCCTTTGGAATAATCTCTCAGCAGAGGTTCATTGAGTGCCTTTCCTCTCTGTCTTTAAGAAAATGGTAAAAACTATTATCCGAAGCTGCCTTTTATTAATTACCTATGAGATGCAGATTTGTATTAATTTGATTGATTTTATTAAAAGTTAGGTGGGTTGTACCTATTTAAGTATTCATTGCTGGGCATGTGTTGTGTTTATATGTGTTTTTATTGTGTTGTAGCATGTTGTATACTGCTCCATAGTGTGAACACACTATGGGGCAGTATACAAACTGAATGATAAATAAATAAATAAATAAATAGCCCTACCCAAAACTTCACACCATAAAGACCATAGTTATGACGTCTGAAGAAGAAAAAGAACCCTCATCATTCTCCATCTCCTTAATGGATGGTGACCCTAAATTGGTCTGTTCTGAATCCTGGGGTTCACTTGATGCCTCTTGGGAGTCAAAGCAAGCAAGTTATGTTGGTTTGAGAGCCATTGTCAATTTCATCCACTCGGGTAGAATGTCATAAGTCTGATATAAAGCATATAGAAGAAAGTAATATAAATTCCCTTGTTTTCTTATTTGAAATGGGGATAGGTAGCAAAAGCTCTTTCTTTAAATAAAAGATACTTTGAAATACAGATGGTTCTTGCCTTGTCTTCCTCTCTGTTAACTTATGGTCCAAAGTCAAATCTGTTTAGAAAGATGCCTCCTCGGTCGTTAACCACGCACCTCTTTTTCTTCTTCTTTACAGCAGTTCTGTGGTGTTCTTGGTCACACATTTATGGAGTTTTTGAAGGGCAGTGGGGACTACTGCCAGGCACAGCACGGCCTCTATGCAGACAAGTGAACTGTAGAAATCGATTACTACTCCACCAAGAAGCCCCCTTAAGAGAGGTTACCAGGATAAGAAGTGTTGAATTGAAATTGGCAGAGCATTTTTACAAAGGAGTTCTGACCTGGATGGGGTAACCTCGGCGCACTGCCTTTCTTTTTGCCTCAGTATTACTGGATTGAAGAATTGCTGCTTCTTGACAAGGAGGTTCATTTCATTTCCCATTGTTCCCAACGTCATCTTCATCAGCACTGGAAACTTTTGAGTGGCTTTTTGTGAAGTAGACTTCAGTTTCTCCATCAGTTCAGCTCAATTTTTTAAAATAGTATCATTCTTCTCTTACATCTTAAATAAAAATGGCCCGAATGAACCGCCCAGCTCCTGTGGAAATCACTTATAAGAATATGCGTTTCCTTATCACTCATAATCCAACCAATGCAACCTTAAATAAGTTCATAGAGGTAAGAGGGTGGGGTTTTTAAAAATTTCTTAAACTTTTGTATACCTTCCTTCAGACATGACCATGTGGATTTCCTTTTCATGTACAAAATGTATGTGCAAAATGTTCCAGTTGGATTTAGGCTAATGCACATGTGCTGATTATAGAAGTACAGCAGTTGTGTAAGTGGGTGTGGGTGTGGGTGATCTGTTGCAAGTGCAGGGTCCTTTCAGTCAGATACTGTGAGCAAGGCTAAGAGCTGGTGTCCCATACTATCCAAGAAGTTTATCTGTTCCCTGAAAAAGTGAAAGGCATTTATAGCTATAATTTCTGCGCCAGAAATAAGGCCATTTGTGTGTCACACTCAGCTATGTTTTGTTGCATCCATGGTGTGCTGTTTTAACTCTAAATTGTTCTACAGATGACCGAACAAACCACCGTTTGTTTTTACCTCAGATTGGCTTGTTTATTTTCTGCCCCTTTAATCAGTGCTTGATTCAAAATGGGGAGCTGAGGCAAGGATACACCACAGTTTTTTGTGCTCAAAGTGACATGGCTTTACCAATCTAAATGTTATAAATTAGCAACAAAACAGGGGTTCTAACTATGATCTGCAGTTTATGAATCATGGTTTGATGATATTAGAGTTATGGGTTCAGATCGATATTTTTTCTAAGCTGCACACACTCACCCAGAGCTCCATTGGGGCTGTGAAGGGGCAGCCAGTTTGTTTACTTCCCCATTCAAATGGAGCCCTGCTCACCCCTGCATGCATGGAGTGAGCAGCAGGACAGAAAATCAGAACGTTGGTTCAGATCCAGTGTGAGAATGTTAGGGGCATGGATTCAGATAATGTGTGTGAGAAGTCAAACTGCAAACAATTGATAACGATTCATATGTAAAATTCAATTTTCTTCTTAGGAACTTAAGAAGTATGGAGTTACTACAGTAGTTAGAGTCTGTGAAGCCACTTACGACACTGCTCCAGTAGAAAAAGAAGGTATTCAAGTTTTGGTGAGTAGTTTATATACCTTAAGTTATTTAGCCATTGAATATTTTGTGCTTCTTACTATACAGTGAAGGCATTAGAGTTTGTAAGTCATTTTTGTGGAGTCATTTCTAGGAGGTTACTGGGGGAAATGCATTTTTTTGCAGTTACATAGTTTATAGCATGCTGCCTGAAAGATTCTTTTGGGTGGAAAAAAAATGAAACAATTAGACCAGGCAGTGTTGCTAGCCGTTTTTTTCAGATTGGAGAAATAATCCTTGGAGAAATCTGAAGAGCAGTCTGTTCTGTTGTATTTTATTGACTGGCTTAATGCTTGTATTCCTTGCTGTAGACATACATACAAGTGAGACGGTTTAAATGGAAAAATCTAGTTGAACAAATGTCCAAAATGTATATAGGTTGAAAGCACGGTTAGCTGAAAGATTTAAAAGAATAATTGAAGTTGAATTGTGTTTGCTGACTATAACAGTTGCTGCGGTAGTGAGGCAAACTGTTGTCTTCATAATTCCAGGACTGGCCCTTTGATGATGGAGCCCCACCATCTATACAGATTGTTGATGATTGGTTAAACCTCTTGAAAGTTAAATTCCGTGAAGAGCCTGGCTGCTGTATTGCTGTACATTGTGTTGCTGGTCTTGGAAGGTGAGGGAAACTCTGTTTTCTAGGTTCTGTTCCAACATAGTTTTGTTTCATTAATTGCATAAAGAAACTAGCTGTATACCTACTGCTGAGTAGTATACATTGATACTTAATTGGGCTGTAGAATTCTCATGGTTTAAAAGGCTCTTCTTTATCTTTGGGTCAAATTGGGGAGGGAATCACTTCTGGAAAAACTGGATCACAAACAAATCAACGCAAGAGAAAGATAATCAAGGATGTTGATTCCTTTGGGCTGCATCATAGATCTAAAAATCTTTTCAGTATTAGTGACTTAGAACTTGACAATATGAATCATGTAAGATTTTTTGGAAGCATATGAATATTTTAAAAACGAATGATCATTTCACTTTCCGTGACTCCTAGATGTTTAAACTGGTTCCTCTTGTCAGACCCAGCCAGTATAGACAGTAGTCAGATAAGATAAGAGATTTAGGGTCGGGACTTGTGTGCAGGGGAAGCCTGGTTTATTATATTGTGTTAAATACTTATGTGTTATTTTATGCTGCCAAACTTACTATCCTAGTAGTAGGTGGCACATTACATTTTTTTCTTCTGATATCCTGTCTGGTAAATGTTCATAATGTTCAGTAAACCAGTACAATTTTCAGATACAATTAGCATAATTAACTTTGTCAGACATTATACACATTGAGATCGAGAGGTTGTGCATCCTATTACTGTAGTTTGAATCTACAAAGTGGGGACTATGTATAACATAGCATTCTCTTTTTTTTCCCAGAGCACCGGTTTTAGTTGCTCTTGCACTCATTGAATGTGGAATGAAGTATGAGGATGCAGTACAGTTCATAAGACAGTAAGTATTAAGCAGCTGGTTCATATATCTATGCCAGTAAGGCTGTGCAAGAAGGGTCATAGATTGAAATAACTTGCTTTCTATCTCCAAATTGTTATGTCAGCTGATTAAGTTGCATAGAACACACGCAATGCAAGAATTAAGTATCAGTGGCCATTTGATTAAACCTACAGCCCTTATGAATTCTGTGACACTATCTGCCATCAACACGCTTAAACCTCTAGAGTGGAGTGGGGATTTTGTCTTTGAAAGGTCTCTTCTCTAGAATGAAATTCTGTAATCCCTGTGCTTGCTTATTATCAACTAGTTGAGGAAGATATTAAATGTATTTACTACAGAAACTTGCTGTGAGGGTTCGTTAATAGGGGCTTCTGTCACACCCAATAAAGTATGAGACTGTTTAAAGTCAACAACATGGTCTTCATTTATTAACGTTCCAACATTAACTGTAACTTCCTTTTGAACAGGATTTAACGTCTCTTGCTGTCGAAACCTTGACTGCAAGGGTGTCCAAACATTATTAACAAACGGGTTTAGTTCGTCAAACTCCCACGGTCCAGATAAGACTTTCTCTATAGCCGGCCGTTCACCTTCTTCTCCCTCCGCAGCTAGTAGTGGTAGGGTCTCTTCATCTCCACTCCAACCCCAGAGTAGGGAACCCCCTCTCGGACTGGCCAGCCACAGTCTGGGAAGAATCCCATCTTCTGGAGCTCTGAAAGATGCCGTGTCTTCTTGGCCCCGATCTCCCTTGCTATTACCTCACGTTCTTCTCGGAGACGACGCCTCCACTCCTTCGCCTCCGTCTCTCCCCAATAGGATGGACGTGGTTGCTGACCCTGGTGCCTTCATCGTTCATCCTCCTCGTGGGGAACCTTGACTTGTTCCCATTTCCCTGTCCAGGGATCCTGGACCCAAACCTTTTCCCAACCCCCCCGGGATCTCCTCCCGCTTCTCTCTTATATCCCCCACGCCCGCCTCCATCGAGCATTCTCCTTTTCCCGCCAAAACCTCACCAGTCTGCACCGCCACGCTTAACCCTTTTATCCACAATACCAGATACCTGGTATCTACCCCTTGATGCTTCTGTCCCTCTCAGTCTCTCAGTTCCTCCTGCTCCTTAGTATCCACCTTCTTGCTAGGTGGAGAAGGTGGAGGAGAGGTCTGAGTCTCCTTAGAGCGAGATGGGAGCGACGGCACTCTTATAAATACTTCCTGGCCCTGGCCTGGGGCTTCACACTTGCCTGTTCTGTCTTATAAAGTATTTAGCCAAGAATGAAGTTGTGTTTCTTGAAGCACTTCAATTTTAAATCTCACTAATATTTTTATTCTGATTGTTTGTTCAGGAAACGCCGTGGAGCCTTTAACAGCAAGCAGCTTCTCTATTTGGAGAAATATCGTCCCAAAATGCGTCTGCGTTTTAAAGATTCAAACGGTCACCGTAACAACTGTTGTATTCAGTAAAAACCAAGCTGCCTATATTGCTGCTTTGGAAGTAGAAGACTAAACTAGGATTGGGGAGGTTACATGGAAGAACTTAGGTTTGTGTCTAACTAGGTTACATGAAGCTTCTGTAGGAGTAGGCCACAATGTTGGCAGGAGAGCAACTTTGTTTAGATGATCTTTGTAGTAAACAAGAAATGTACATGGCCTTTAAAATGTCTTATCTGTAATTTGTATCATTAAACTATTCCTAATCATGCAATTCAGTTTTTTTTCTTTCAAGCTCCAGTAGGCAGATCTCCTACAACATGAGTAGAGATTTAGGTGCCAAAAAGTCTGTCACTCTATTTCTGTATACCACAGTGTAGTTCCCTCATCACTACACCTGTCTGGACCTTTGCCCTCTTCCCAGTAATCTCCTCCTTTTGTGGACAGGGCTTCATTGAATTATCCGCCTATTTACTCTCTTTGTCTTCTGCAATCGCACTAGAATGAGTGTCAGGATTTGCACACCATTTACTGTTACTTAAACCCTTTTCATTCACATACATTTTCTAGTTACTCATAGAAAATAATTCTTCACGCTGTACAGAAGCACACAAGTCTTTAATGTCTCCAGACAAAAAGCCTTACAGTTAAATATTGGCACATGAAGTGCAACTTTAGCAGATGGCCTGTAAAAGGATGCGAGGGGACAAGTTAGTATTTCTAGTAAAATGTTGCCTTTGTCTTGTGCAGGAAGTATAGAATATGCCCTTTACTTTAGTAAATATTTTTTTAATGTAGAAATGCTTTATTGTAGCTGAAAATTCTTAACCATGAAATCTCAGAAGATCTTGTAATTTCTTTTATTGTACTTATTGGAAGTTGTTTACCAATTATTGCTTTGTTGGAAGTGATTTTGTTTTTTTTTTTCCTTGAGTTTCTGCTATTGTGGCAGACTTCTGTAATATTTTGTATGCCTTTTGAGCTGCGTAACTTAATATTTGAATACTTGATGATTTGTTATGTAATTGATAAAATGGTGGTGTGTATTAATGTTCAACCATATATTTATACTGTCTTGGGAATGTGTGGTAATAGTACTGTGGGAGAAATAATTTGCCAGTGTTCACCAGCTTGTAAAATCTAGTGCGAGAGCTCAAACATCTAAATAAACTCAAAGCTGCATTGCAGTTTACTTGAACCTTTCTCTTTGGGGGTAAGGAGAGCAGGGAAGCATAACGCAAGTGCCAGTCACATTCAAAGAAGCATGTTTTCTCTCCTGAGGCAAGTGCTTGATGGATTTTCGCATTGGCTCTTGAAAAACTATTACATCTAATAACTGTCCTTGTCCTCCATAAGTAACATGGTACTGTACTTTTTAATCTGGATGAATTTAATCTTGTGACATCTGAGTAAAATATTAAATGGGAATTTACTACCACATATATACATGGTAGAAATGACATTGACCTCCACATCAAATTACATTTTGTAAAAATTTGATTTTGTTACTGAGTCTGCTTGGAAGAAGGTATTTGGAACAGTAAATTTAATCATATAATTACTAGAACCTCCAACAATTTAAATATGCTAATGGTTCCTTTTCTTTTATTGGATATTCTTGTTATCTAATTAGATATGCAGAGCTTTTCAGGTAAAGTTAATAAGAGAAATTCGCTGATAGACAAACTGCTTTCCTCAGTGCTGGAGACCTATGTCCACTGTATGTACAGTGGTGCCTCGCTTAGCGATGTTAATTCGTTCTGAAAAAATCGCTGCTAAGCGATTTCATCGCTAAGTGAAACGCGGTTTCCCATTGAAATGCATTGAAAAGCAGATAATCCGCTCCAATAGGAACAAATTGCCATCCTTAAGCGAAAATCGCCATAGGAAACATCGCTAAGCGAAACGCGGTTCCCCAATTGAAATGCATTGAAACCTATACAGTGCATCTCAATGGGGGGGGGAGAAATACAACAAATTAAAAGAGTCAGAACAAAGTCAAATTTGGTTAACAAAGGGTTTATTAAGTGCACTTTATGATTTCAAACATTTTAAACAGTAAACTTTAACTTTATAAATAACAGAAAAACATTTACTTGTAAAAAGCAAACGTGAGGCTGTTTAAACCATCGTTAATCGAAACGGGACCCAAAATTTAATCGCTATGCAAAGCATGGTCCCAACCATTGCTAAGCGAAAATCGCCCATAGGGACCATCACTAAACGAAGCGCAAAAACGTTCCGAAAAATTCATCGCTAAGCGATTTCGTCGCTAAACGGAGCACCCGTTAAGCGAGGCACCACTGTATAAGTGTCAGCCAGCAAGAACTATAGTATACAAGTAAATCCCAGTAATAGTGTGGCAAAGTCCATATTCAGTGGCATTTAAATGAGTCTTGTAACTTTCTGTAAACGGGGGAATCTGCAAAGTGGTGCCAAAGAGCAATATAAGGAAAGCTTCTTTGGTTCTGGAAAAGCGAAGTGATACTTATTTTTCATGTACCTGCACAAGCCTGAGTTACTTGTAGAGTGCCTGTCCCCCACTGTTTTCCTTATAAGGCCCTTTCCCACATACATACTTTCCTTGGTTGGTTTACTTAAGACTTTGCTTCTCTCTTCATAGTCTAAAAGTAGCTTAACAATAAGTAGCATTATGCAGCTGATTTGCAAAAGGGTATAAATTGATACTTTGAAACAGCGTTCTTACATTTCCTGTAACTTTTCAAAAGCATTTTATTCCACATGATTCTGCCATATTCATTTTCTTTCATTTCAGTGCTGCCTGAAATTCCAATTCCAGTCCTGGCAAATGAGGCTTAACATCTCTGTATCATGAATCATGACCCAATGCTTATTAATAGATATATAATTAAATTGTAAACTACCCAAAGAGTGCTTCAAATACTATGAGGGTGGTATATAAGCAGCACACTTTGTTTTTGCTTTAAAGTAGCTATTAATATTGGAAAAGGTGCATTCATCATTGACACATATGGACTACAGACATGTTTATTACAGTTGTCTAAATATAAGAGGATTTAATATGGAGAACAAGTAAGGATCACCATTTTGAGCATATATAAACCATAATATAAGAGAGTTTGTTTCTCAGGCTACTCTGGCACATCACGAGCTGAACAACAGTCAGGGAGCATCAAAGGGTCTGTGGGAAAATTGGGGCTTGGGTATGTATTGTCTGGCATGCATCTTCATCATCAGGCTTCCTTCCAAATCCAATTATTCACAAGTTCCTGTGAGATCAATATCCTTGCACCAACTTATTCCTTGTTATATGCCGTCAGGTTGCCTCCAACGTATGGCAGACCTGTGCATGAGAGACCTCCAAAATGCAGTGGTACCTCACTAAACAACGAATCTGCATGACGATGACTTTTTGCAATCACTAGCGATTTGCAAAACAGTCATTCCTATGGGGGATTTTTGCTGGACGCCCGTGCTTCGCGAACCGTTTGCAAGATGATGATTTTTTCGACTCCGCAAAATGGCTGCCCTGTGTTTTTCGGACCCATGCTTTGCAGGGCAGCCATTTTTACAGCTGATTGGCACTCGCAAAATGGCTTCCCTATGGGCAATCTTCACTGGACGACGAGGTATTCCCCATTGGAACGCATTAAACTGGGTTTCAACGCATTCCAATGGGGAAAGGATTTTTGCATGACGACGATTTAGCTAAACAGCGATTTTCCCAGGACGGATTATCGTCATGCGGGACACCACTGTGTTCTGTCCTCAACAGCCCTGCTCAGAGCTCTCGTAAACTCAAGCTTCCTTTAAGGAGCCAATCTATCTTGTATTTTGTTTTCCTCTTTACCTCTGCCTTTGACTTTTCTCAGCAATATTCTTTTCCAGAAAATCTTACTTTCTCACGATCTGCTTGAAGTATGACAGACTCCATTTCATCACTTTTGTCTCCAGAGAATTTTTTGTTCTGTGCCATCAAATTGCCCTTGATTTGTGACCTCATGAATGTCCTATCCTCAACAGCACTGCTGAGCTCTCCAACTCAAACCTGTGGCTACCTTTAGCGCAGGGGTCTCCAAACTACAACCCACGGGCCATGTCTGGCCCACCTTGCCATTTTATCTGGCCTGTTCTCTTCAGCCCAAGTGCGTGGGTGGGTGTCCAGGCTGGGTGGGGGTGTCTGCCTTGGAGAAGCTGGATGCATAGTCTGGTGTCTCAGCTGTAACCATTCTGCCTTAGGTGACCCTACTAGGAGCCCATGTTTATCATGGAATCTGGCCTGACAGCATTGCTCTCAGCTTCATTGACACACTCAAACCCCTTCACTGCATTAAGGCATGCATCTAAAAAGGAGAATATACCTTCCTGCCCTTTAAAATTTGCACAATATTTTTCTGCGTACATGATTTGGGACCAAAGTATCAGGAACTCTCCCCTTACACATACAATTCTGCTTGTATGCTATGGGCTCCTGTAAATGCTATTATGATCAGCAAGGCTGGCAGGCAAAACATATGACTGCTTCTTTTGTAATCCCACATCTATAGAACTATCAGATTTGTGCTTTAAATATATAGTGTAAGGGACGTGGGTGGCACTGCGGGTTAAACAGGTTGGCAGTTTGAATCTGCACAACAAGGTGAGGTCCTGTTGCTCGTCCCAGCTCCTGCCAACCTAGCAGTTCAAAAGCATGCAAATGCGAGTAGATGAATAGGTACTACCTTGGTGGGAGGGTAATGTCACTCTGTGTCTAGTCATGCCAGGCCTGTGACCATGGAAAGTGTCTACAGACAAACACCAGCTCTTTGGCTTACAAACGGATGAGCACCGACCCCTAGAGTCGGACACAACTGGACTTTTCAAGAGCAACTTTTACCTTTTCATTTAGGCAGATCATGAACACCTTAATGGTTCCATTTGATTAACATGGTAACTTGTATGTAGATGCCATCTTGGGGTATCTATTCCACTACTGGAGGGAGAAATACTTAGGCTCTCAAGAAATTAGATATGAAGGGGAAAACAGTTGGAAAACACTGCAAAGGACTACAGAATTCTGGTGTAGATGTGGAGATTTCTGAGAAATTTGCCAGGAGATATATTAATAGGCGAGAATGAGAAAAGCATTTAATGCTAGTTAGCAAAGCAGTACATACTCATTGAGGTATTAGTATAGAAATCCACATTCCAGAATGCTTAGGCTAGCTTTTATAGAGTGTTACACAAAGCAACATAAATAAGTAAAAATGTGATCCCTGTTAAACTTCCTTTCTTCCTCTGAGGGAACTTTACTCCCAGGAAATACTATTTCCTTCAGCATCCGGCCTGTTCATAAATGATCAATAGTTTCATTGTGTCTGTGTACTCAAAGGACGGGATGGCAATGTTAATTGTTTTATGAGGTTTCTTTCCTGCTGACTACTACACACTTTGCAGGGAATGGATTTTTCCCATAATATATTTAGCTTGCCATACTAAAAATACATTGGCTAGTACTAATATATTTATACAATTGCTAAATTCTAACATAGGGTTATATCTCAAAATTACAATGAGGAGGAATCTCCTCATAGATGTACTCGTGGTTTGCAGCTTATTCTAATGCTATAACCATAGACCTTTAAAGTTTGAACGGGGGTAGAGAGATTCAGGTCAAAGATTGTAAGCCATAAGGAAAGCTGTTAGAAAGGGGTATTACCATTCATTACCTTCCATTTCAGTTGAAGTTCAACATTTCAAAATTTCTGGTGCGGAGTAAACTTACCCACCCAGCCCCTACTCTATTTAACATGTATGCACTACTATTTGTTAGCATTTTGGATATTAAAGTAGAAGCTTACTGTATATATGGAGAATTAAAAGGGTAAAAAAATCATTGACAGCAAAACTAAGTTCTCCTAAGACGCTTTCCCATAAAACCTTTGACTGTCATAATATTGCTGTATAATTTGTGGATACTATTGGCCAGTGCAAGAGTAGGACTAAACTTGCAACACATTTCCATCATTTCCAGTGAAAAAAAGTTGTTCTGCCTGCAGAGCCTGCCTCATTTCTGCCTGTTCCCAGTCTTTCAAAATATATACTCTAACCTCCACCCACCCATTCTCTGACTAAAATCCAGTAGTAAGTTGCAACCAGAGTAGACCCATCGAATCTGTGAGGATTTGGTGAATCATGCCCTATATAAGTTCTATTGATTCAATGAGCCAAATCCAGTTCCAACTTATTATTAGATTGTAACCACTGAGTAGTTAAGATTTTTTTGTGGGGGGGGATAGTAGTGCAGATTTTGCTTTCCTGTTGGATGGCAGAACAGCAGCTTCACATCCAATTCTGCTTTATTTTCAAACTCAATTATTTAAAAAAAAAACTGTTTATGAATGTGAGATATTGTGCTTCTGCATGCATTATTCAAAACACCAGGAAATGGCAGATATTGTTGCACTCATGTTCACAGCAGGAAAAAGGATGCCAAGCTTTACATAGCAAAGGGCAGCCCAAATGTTGAGAACACCAATGGCAGCAGCCAAGACGGTCCACAGATTACCCTCTTCTGCTCACTACCATTCACAAAGTAATACCATGCAAGGGTGAATCCCAAAAGCTAACTCCTTTTTTCATCAGTTAACCACTTCTTGTCCAAAAACAAAGCAATCATCCGGGCTGTTGTTGTTGTTGTTTGACACACATGCTCAGATTACAACACAACCATTGTTTCTCATTTTTGAAAGGCCTTTTTTTGAGGATCAGTATTTTAGCCCTGCAGCCTGGATTCCTTCCAAATGTAATGCAGAAATACTTTGAATGTGCCTTAGAAAATCATGGAGATGTCTTTTTCTGGAGCACCCTCACTCCAGTACTTTCTTTAAAGCATGCCCATTTTTGACTCTTCAAAGACCTGGTTTGTTTTGCTGTTTCTGTCACTTTTCATTGCCCTCCAAAGATTTCACTTTCTGGGCCATGTAGCTGCACCAATGTGTCTATTTTGGACTCCTTCTGCTGGTAAGCTTGTTCCACAGAGATTTAGTTTATAACAAAGTCACCATTTCTTGCTTTTGACAGGCCTTTTTTGCGGATCAATATTTCAGCCCCTGCAGCCTGGATTCCTTTCAAATAAAAAAGAGCAGGTGGAGCCAACAATTCTCTTCAAAGATAAGCAAGATTGGTCTTTTTGATTTATTTGATCTGTTTTAATTATGAGGAACGTTTAAGATTGCTTTTTTTCTGCATAAATAAATACATGTGGCACCTGAAGATTAAAAGACTAAAATATAAGCAAATTTAAATAAATGTAATCAGCAAGATATCATTCCCTTCTGCTATACTTCATTTAAAACAGAAAAGTTGGTTTGTATGTAAACAATAATCTTAAGTCATTCAAGTGAATAAATAAAAGGAATTGTTTAAATTAATGAGAAAATATTCCTAGACAGTATAGTCCAATTAAATACCTTCCTAACATTTCAGATACACAACTAGTATTAGCAAGAGAATGCTTGTGTTATAACTAGTTTCAAGTTGTAATCAACAACATCCTTCTGAGTGGTATCCTGATTACACCCATAAAACTTGTAAAGTGAAGGTTTCTTTATGTCCACGCACAACAGGAAATACAGTATATAAATAATGGCATGACCGAGTGGCACATGAATATATTCACCCGCCCGTTCCATAACATCTGAAGGATTGATTCCTACTTTCCGTTTATCCACATCAGATCAATCTGTACTCAGAAAGGCCCCCCTAGACTGCATAAAAAGATTTGTTCATGGCATGTTTCACTTAATCTGCATCATTTTAGTAAATACTGTATGCTGGAAAAGTTTGTTTAAAGCAGCTTTTAATTTTTCCTCTATTTCTACTGTTCTCAACGAGCATTTGGTCCCAATTCCTTGTATAAAGATTATATTATAGCTAGAGAAATTTAGATCTGAAACTAGTGTAAACCCTATACCCACTGTTTTTGTCTTTTACTAAACAAATTTTTCAGTTAAAACATGTATGTGTATGGCATGGACATACATATCTTGATAAAAACAGAGGTTCTACCAGACTGTTTTACAAACTTGGTTAGTTTCTTAACATAGTCTCACCCCACAGAACAGTACAAGAGTACAAATTATAGAAATATGTTAATAGAATGCCAGGAAAGAGATACAACAATAAATTTTGTTGTGTTTTAAAATATAACAGCTAGAATCATTTTGGTTATTTATTATGTGTCATTAGGTTAGAACCAATTGAGAGCCACCCTAATTATTAGGGCCTAATAGGACTTTCAGGGTGAGATATTTAATTGGTTTTTCCAATTCCACACTCCCAGTGAGTTTCCATAACTGAGCGGAAGCTTGAACCCAGGCCTCCTGAGTCCTTGCCTGTCACTCTTTCCACTACACCACACTGGGTAGATCTGGTAACTTCTGCCATTGTAAATGGAATGGTGTAAATCACACCAATGTATTGCCACTAGTTAAGGAGCTGCTGGTGGTGTTCCTTATCATGTGACAAGTCATAAGATCTGTGCAATGAGGAACAGAAGCAGAAAACCATTAACCAGCAGCAAGGCATTTTTGCAGTTTATGCTATTTGCATTTATGCTGTTATAAGCAACCCATGAGATTCGGGCCAAAATCTTCAGCAATTTAACTGCTGAAGAAAATGTGTGAGTTCATATATGTGCTCTGAGATGGAGATCATACTGTTGAGAAGATCATTGTACCAGCTAGAGTGGGAGTTCCCAACCTTTTTCAAGTCACAACCCCCTTTTATAATAGCCAAATAACCTGCAACCCCTCCACCACGTTTGCAATAAAAGACATTTTAAATGGACATCCTCCCTTCTCAGAAAGTACGTAGAGGTTTCTTTCTCCCCCGAAGGGCCTGTTTCTCATACATACACATATACCCTAGCTTTAATATTCTGCTCCAAAAGGTTAAGCAAGAAATTATTCAACAAGAGGCACACCACATGTAAGGCAACCTACAACATCCCCCCAAGGGGGGGGAAAAAACTATTGCAACTCCCTTGGGGGCCACAACTCCCAAGTTGAGAAACACTGAGCGGGAGGAATATTTACAGTATCTGGTCTGGATGGGGTCACACTCTGGAAGTATCAGGCTTACAGCTTGAAGGTATTCCTATGGCTGTGCTTTAACAGAACTACCCCAAGCTTGGTGTTTTCTGGTCTGTGGAGGCTGAAGACAGAGCAGATTACCTTCAGTCTGAAATCTTCACTCTGGCCCTCAAAACAGCAATCATGATACTGAAAACATAGTTGGAAAAGTGCAACTTGTTTCTCCTCTATTCAAGTACTCTTAACTATGGATACTCAATGTCTACCTAGGAGTCTCGTCCCTATGATCAAACTCAGTGTTGCTTACTCCCAAATAATATGTTGTTGCTGAATTCTATTTTGAACGCTGAGAACACATGAAATATGTGTGAGAGAGAAACGCTCGGGAGATACAGAGTGGTCTTAACCGACCAGATAGGCGGGATAATAAATAAATAAATAAATACAGGATAAAGCCTACCCTTTCCAGACTGTGCATGTAACTCAACTCCAAATAATAATTTCTGTATCTATTCATTGGAGAAACACAAAACTTCCATTTGGGATGTCATGCAAGTGTGTTACTCATGTTTCCTGTTCCTCTTGTGGGACCCTAACAGCTGATGTTTCTGTTCTAGAGAATAATTCCCTGATTGAGTTCACTGACTGAACTCAGATGCTGGCTCACAGAGTTCTCTCAAAAGATGAAAACAGGCCCTTGCTTCACCTGTTGTCCAAGGGTTGCATAGTCCAGAAACAGTTTCATCTTCTCATAGAGCGGTTTTATTTTGGTTTCTTACGTAACGCCCAGAGGGACTTTGTTAACAATAGATATGGCTCCACTTACGCTACAGGTCACAACTGCCCTTTTGGGCCTTGGGGACTGAGGCTCTACACCACATGACATGGTGTTTTTTTTCTGCCAACAGTGGCCTCATCATTTCTCTCCTGACAGAATATGCCTGGAAAATGAGCATCCACTTCAGACCTGTGAAGAGTCCACGTCTCCTCGAGGTCATGGGCGGCCCCTGAAGGTCTCTTTCATAGTTTTTTTGGGGGGGGAGGAAATAAAAAACAAAAAAATTAGGCCTTTTCCTAACTGAGACCTTCAAGAAATCGTTGAGTAGCACAATTTTATAAGAGGCATTTATTTTATTACAATTCACGACAGGATTTATAAATTATCAGCCCAGTTGTTCGTCCTCATCAGCCCTTCTTCTACAGAGAAACGCCCTTTACAGTAACTCGGGCGCTCCTGGCAGCAGAAACACGCTCCCGTTCGGCTTCAGCACCAAGGCGCATGCGCGCCGACACCACCACGCGCAGAGTAAACAGCCCCGTCACGTGAACATGGCCTCGGCCACTCGCCCGGCCGTTTGTCCTCGTCTAAGGGAGTGAGGCTTAAGGGCGCAGCGAACGGCCAGGGCGACGGGAGGGAGAGACCACCTGCGGCCCTGGGGTGGGTGCGGGGGCGCGGAGACGGAGAGAGTGGGGTGGAGGTTGTGGGGGGGGAGGAAAGGAAAAGGAAAGGAACCCGGACGTGTTCCCCTCCGCTGGCCAAAGAGTAACAGCCCCCTTCTCCGTCTCCGCCCACTTCCTTTCCTCGCGCCCTTCCACTTCCGCACGGCGAGCCTGCTGGCCGGCCTGCTTGTCTTCCGTCGCCTCCGCCTCCTCCTCCCCTCCCCTTCGACCTGAGGCTGCGGAGCTGGAAGAGAGACGTAAGAGAAGAAGGGAGGGAGACGGAGGGGGGCCGGGAAAAGAAACCCCCTCGCCAGCAACCCGAGGGCACGGCCAAGCGAGGGAGCGCGTGCCCCCCCGCCCGGGCCAAGGCAGGTAAGGACGGTCTTATTGTGGGCGGGGATGGAGGGGGGGCGGTTGGGACCGCGGCCTTGGGGTGTGTGTGTTTGTGTGTGTGAGGGAGAGAGTCGAGGGGGCCAGTACTGGGCTGTTGATGGACCGGAGCCGGAGTGGGCCGTCTTCCCTCCCCTGTTTCCCTTTCGCACCCTCCCCCACCCCCGAACTCGGGTCTGTCGGAAATCGTCCCCCCCCCACCTCCCCCTCTCTTTGCGGTCTTCCACTCCTCTCTTCTCCCTCTTGGCAGTTGACACTCTCCCCCTTTTTCCTTTCTGGGCGTTTCTCGTGGCCCCGCCTCTCCATCGCCTGGCCCTCCTCGGGAGGTGGAGGTGGCTCCTTCTCACCTCATTCCTGTCAGGGCTTCTGTTTCTGCGGTGGGGGTGGGGGATCCTTAAGTGATTCCCCAAACTTGGCCTCCCCTGAGATGCTTTTGGACTTCCCCTCTCCATCCAGCCCAGTTGGCTTCATGGCTAATCCCGAGGGCTTCTGGAAACTGCTGTCCCAACAACAACGTCCAGGGACCTCTTCTTGGGAGCCACTGGTATAGAGGGTTTTTGGATTGCAACTCCCATCGTCCTTCACCCTGACTGGGGTAACTGGGGCTGAGGAAAATGGCAATTTAGTAACTAATTTGAAGGGCACGGGTGGCCCGCGTTTGGCCTAGTAGGTAAACAGTGCAGTGCGGCAGAAGAAGAGACCCAAGCCTGTTTAAATAGCTTGTTGTCTCTGATCAAAGGCCTGTTTGGGGACCTGAAACAATCTGTCTAGATCCACTCCTGTTGGAAGCTTTGAAAAGTTGATTTTCTTTTTTTGGACAATGGGTCCCCAAACCCTGCAGCAACATGGCCCAAAAGATAACTGCTCCAAGCTGTGATTCAAAATAAATTGGAATTTGGCCATCTTTTGAACAAAAGCCCCTTTTAATCTTCACCTGGAATCACTTCCTATCTGCCTCCTAAATCTGCATCATGCATCTTTCAGAATATCCATTAATGCTGGTTGTTTTCCCATCTCAGTTGGTACTCAGCAGCACATTTATACTCAAGTGAGGCCAACTGATTCAGTGAGACCTGGTCCTTAGTAAATATCAATTTAGTGAACAAATTAATATTTGCTAAAATATTAATTTACTAAATTAAATAGTTACTAAAGATAGTCAAAATATTTGTTAAGATTTCTATTTTATAATGTAGCAAGTAAGGCTCATTGAAGACAGTGGGGTTTATTTCCATGTAAATGTAAATAGTATTTCAGTGTTTCCCCATAGTCATTATTAGCCCAGTACCAACTGTGTCTTCACACACTGGAATAATGTGGTATTTGGTTCTGCTTTGCATCTGCTACCCCTCTTTGTTGGGGGTGGGACTAATTTCTGTGACCCTCTTTTGCCATGTTCTCTGTGTGTGTGTCAGAGAGAAGAGATGTAGTGAATATTTTCGTGCATAATTAGTATCACATATTCTTGAATATCAGTAATTTTTGTATTGCTCCAAACCATGCACTTTAAAAAAAGTGTTCAGACATTCCCCACCTCCACAGCTAAAAAGAAACTTTTTATGTTTCAAGTAAGCACTGGGAGAGTGAAGTTAGGGGTGATCACAGGGTAATTGCCAGCCTTTTGGCCTCAAGAGCCAGGGTGTGAAAAATCCAAAGGTTGCTGCAGAGACACTAGAGACCCAGACTAATTTTTTAGCACTCCAACTGGTGCTATCACTCACTCTTGCATCAGTGTTCAGCTAGTAGCACATTCTGCTCTTCATTGTATGATCCTAGTCTGTCTCACCCTTCCCACTCATTGAACAGGTACAGATATGTTCTTTTCTGATCCTGTTGCTGCAACTGCTGCTCTGTGTTGATGTCCTCCTTTTTTTCCTTCTGTTTGTACGTTCCTCCAAAAATCTTGAAGTTTCCTTTATTTTTCCCATTAATTTGATGTTGAGTATCTTTTTGAGCTTTTACTTGAAACACATAACCAACATGTACAAATTTAGCACCTTTCCAGTAAGGCTTGGATTTTTACATTCTTCAGATGTGTTTTTATTTATCTGAAACATTTTAGTTGTACTATAAAGGCAATAAAATAGCAAAAATGCCAGTAGACAACATCAGGAAAGATGTCTAGTCTTCAAGGTAGCTAAATTGTATCAAATCTGATTGCCTATCTGAATTGTAAGTGAAAGTTTCCCAGTAATTTACAAGTCTTACAGAATGTAAAATATACTTTCATTATTTATATTTATAAATTGCCTATAAAAACATTGTCTAAAAGTTGTATAAGTTTAAAATAGAGTAACAATATAGTAAAATGATAAACAAAACTCTAAAACCATGGTGCAAACACAAATACAGTATGACAGAATAAGTAAGCTAGCATGTTGAAATGAAATGCGGTATTCAAAACTGACTTTGCTGTTATGTTTTGTGCATGCTCATGATGTAGTTCTTTGTTTCAATGTTGCCTGATTATGGATATTTTCAGATATAGATTGCCATGGATCCCAAGTATACTCTGTTGTCAGTCTAATCATACGGAGAGATATGTTAGCTGTTTCCTTCAGTCATGTTGTGAAAGAAGATCTCACTTCTCTGCCTTCTCTTTTGTTGTGGACAGCTTCTTTCAGTTTCTGGCCTCATTTCGCAATATGGTCATTGTTGTCCTACCACATAATTGGGTTGATTGAGCAGCATTTTATTTATTTAAGATATTTATACCCCATCTTTCTCTTCAAGAGGACTGAAGATGGCTTAGGAAAGAAAAACAAATACTGTAATATTAAAAACTAATGAATTATTACTATATTAAAAAAAAGAAATGGTTATAAATAAAAAACTGGTGGATAAAAACAATTTAAAATTATCCTAAAAATACATTTTAAAAAATTCTTAAAAACTCCTTGTTTAGCAGCCAGTTAGTGAGAAGATTCCTGCCTGAAGAGAAAGGTCTTTGTACTTTCAGAAGAATGTAAAGTGAGAACAAGTCTGGCCTCGAGAAGGAGTTCCACAACCTGAGAGCAGCCACAGAGAAGGCACTGTCATGTCAACAGCAAGTGCACCTGCGGAGGTAGTTGGATGGAGAGAAAGGCCTTCCCCTGATTATTTTAAAACCTGGGAAGGCTTATAAATGGAAATGCAGTCTTTCAGGTAGCAATGACCTTAAATCATTTAGGATGTTATCTATGAGCACTTTTATGTTGTTGATGGAGGACAGATTCCAAGAGACTGAGCTGATGAAGTCATTGGGATTTATTCCCTTTTAAGTATAGTATAATTGCAGCTTTAGATACATGTAAGTGATTATTCATTTGAAAAAAAAACTTTTTTACTTATGTGGCTGGAAAAGGTGAGTGGGTGTAGTTGTTTCAGAAGTGCTGTGCCCAAGGGAATTAAATCATCATGGTATTGCTAATACTGGAAAGATAATAGGTATAAGAAATGTTACAGTTTCAGATGTGTTTTGTGATCTCTGGATAAGCAGTGTATGTGTTGATAAAGACATAGGTGTTAGGTGTTTTTTTTGGGGGGGGTAACCTCTGTCCTTATTAAATTGCTTTAATAATAATATATTGAGGCCAATATGGTTGGCTGTTCTGGAAAAATATTTTGATATGGCAGAGAAAACATTACAATATTGGAATTTGTTGTTGCCTTAATATTGTACTGAAATTATACATAGTGTGGAAGAACTCAATTAAATCCTTGGACTGATGGAACTGCTTTTGACTGATTATTCCTTTTGTTGTTCCCTTGCATTCCTTACAATCTGCTGTGGGGAATGCAAGGGGTTTGGGGACTTCAAGGCAGGGGAGTGGTGGAGAAATTTCTGTGATCTGCTTAGGTGATGTTGGATTATGAGGAAAGTAAACAGTGAAAGAAGATGCAGTGCTTGGTTGACAAAATTTATCTAGAATATAACATTTGAAATTACATTTAACTTGGGAGGATGCGTATATAATTGGGTTTATAAATGCAGTTCTCCTTTTTGTTCATTCTTTTATCTCCTAAAAATTTATATTTTTATCCTTGGTACTCTTATCTATTTTTCTTTCACACCTTCTCAAACTTTAGCTCAGATGATATCTATGGTGTCTATTTGAGTCAGTAGTATTTTACTTTTATATCTTTCCATTCTGCTCCAATATTGTAGTTGTATATTGTCCTTTTCAGCTCTCTGTTGTCATGTCCCATCAATGTGGAACGTTGAGATTTTCTCATCTCTCCTACTGTATATTATGTCTTGATTTTTTTAAGAGCAGCCTCTCTTGGATCTATGTGCCAAATGTATTCATTGCAAGAGGCTTTTCCAGTGGCTGCCCTGCAGCTATAAAACTATTTTGCCCAAAACTCTATCAAAGACTGATTTTTATGACTACTTGGATACACTTTGAAACTGCTTTCTTGGACCTAAAGTTAAACAGATGTGTGCTCACATAATTATAAAAGCAGTTACTGTACTAGGATGATGACAGTGTACTTTTACATTATTATTCCTTCTCAGAGATCTAGGTAATGAGTACAATATCAATGGGCAAAAAAAAAAAAATCCTACTTCAGTCCTGAGGCTCCTATAGTACCATGTAATCCCTTTCATTATTGGGAAGCTGTGGGAGCTGCAAGACAGGAGGAGAAACTCTTTAATTACCAAGATTTGCCATTTCTAGTAAAGACATGCCAGTGGCAGCAGCTTGCAATAATTAAATACTTCTTCCCATCTTGTAACTACCACAGCTTACCAGTGATGAATGGGCTTGCATGGGAGCCTAGAGACAGTAGTAAGAAATGTTTGTTTTCCAGAAAATCACCACTCCTGATAAGTATTATCAGCCTTATGTAGGCATACATTATGGGACAGGATTTCAGCCCTTGATTGATACAATTAAGTATGATATTCCATTGCTTGAAAGCTATGGACTTTTTAAAATTTTTTTGCTTTCTAGACATTAAATATATCCTCTTGGAAGAAATATATTAACTGTGCCACC